CATAAGAATATATGCTATGATCACATCTTTTCTAAAATTTTGTCAAAGAAAATATGGAAAAATGCAATCATGAGGTGACAAGGCATGCTTTAAGGTAAAATAATGCGCTTATTATTGTCACTCGAGCAACAAGGGGCCCACTTATTTCTAGTTCAAGCATATTAATTATCCCAAACTTAACATTGAAGTTCCAAATTACAATTAACGTGTGGAAGTCTATGTAGCATAATTACTAAAGGGAGCTATACATTATAGGGGAAAAAGGCGAAATATATAAACGACTCCTCTCAACTGACCCATTAATTACCATTTAGACACTTCAAATGTTTATTAAGTGTAATAAAGACTCCAAGATATTTACCAGAGAGAAACTTCTATTTGAATATACATTAGTACAGACTCCAAGATATTTAACTGATTTAGCTTAAAACTTCCACAACCTTATAGCCTGTTTGACCAAGTTTTTTTTTTGGCCAAAAGTGCTTTTTTGGCCAAAAGTACTTTTGGCCAAAAATTGAGGTGTTTGGCCAAGCTTTTGGAAGGAAAAAAAGTGCTTTTGAGGAGAAGCAGAAGCAGTTTTAGAGTAGCAGAAAAAAGTAACTTCTCTCCAAAAACACTTTTTTGAAAAGCACTTTTGAGAAAAATACACTTAGAAGCAGTTTTTTAAAGCTTGACCAAACACTAATTGCTGCTCAGAAGTGTTTTTCAAACTAATTAGTCAAACACAAACTGCTTCTCACCAAAAGTATTTTTGAGAAAAGCACTTTTGAAAAAAAGCACTTCTCAAAATAAGCTGATTTTTGCGGCTTGGCCAAACGGGCTATTAGACTCATCATAGAGAAACAAACCTTAAGACTAACAAAATGAAAAAGAAGAGGAGAAATATTTACAGCAAAAAGTACGACGTATATAATATTAGGCCAAATAGTCAGACGGAAAGAGATGGACTATTTGGGTCCCCAGAAGATAAGATGCATAATTTTCTCAGTCTTTTCAGCCTCCCTAACTCTGCGCTTCTGATCATCCATGAATGCTTTCTTCCCTGAATCTCCGCTGCCGGAAAACCATCTCAGCCGGCCTCCGTTGCCGGGTCCCGATGAGGAACTCGCCGGAGAAGGCTTAATTCCTGCTACCATCATGTAGCACATTGTTCTCTCTTTATGAGTGTAGCCCTTGTACTTGTCTATAGTTTCCTTTTTCTGGGAAATTCTTTTAGGGGAGGGAACTAACTACTGATCTAAAGCAACGCAAGATTAGAGATTGAAAAAGTCTTTGGAAATCCTACTTAATTTGTATGCCCCTAGTAAGTTGTTATACTTTTTTTTGTTTGGTTGCTAAAGCTAAGTGGAAATGCACATGGTTTTTCAGCCTTATAAAGGCATGGAGGACTTCAACACGTGTGATTTTTTTTTTTTTTTGTGTTCTCTTAAAAAGCCTTTTACTATAAAGAAAAACCAGTGGTTTTGGTCCGCAGATTTGTTTAACCATTTTTTCTCCAAGAATATATGCCTATGGAATTTTGTAAATTTGGAATTGTCATGTGCCTAAAAATTCTTTTATTTGTGGAAAGCAGCAACAAGATTTTTCCAATAATGTCCCCTAACAGATTTATTTAATGTTTTATTACTTTAGTACTAGAATACGACTGTTTCCTAACAATTGTTGAATTGAAAAAGTAAATTACAGTTAGGTAAATTTTAACTAAGATGTTTCAATTAAAATCTTAACCTATATCTATATTATATTAAAAGTAGGGTAGTATGCATTGTGGTTAAACTAAGTGTCAAGCTAAAATGAAGTCACTTGGCAATTTTAAGACAATATCTATAATTACAAAGTATAAATGGAAACATAATAAATAAAAGTAGTTGAATGAATCTTATACGTAATTGATAATAGGTGAATTTAACTATAATTAGGCCCTAAAGAACCACCTTCTTGTATAGTTTTGATGATAAAAGTGATAACAAAATGCTCTGATTAGTGCTTTTCATGCTTTGCAGGTGATATATGACAAGAGAAGGCTATGCAGTACTTTTGGGATCAAATATGGAGAAAAAGAGGCCATTCGTAAAATTTTGCCAAATGTACCAAGCGAAGCAGCTCAAGCCAAGCCTGAAGAAGGACTGCCGCGGTTCCACCGCGACCGCGGCAGAACCGCGATAGAAGATGGTCGCGGATAAATTGAGATTCAGAGAAGGTGTGTGGCCGCGGTTTGACCGCGACCGCGGCAGAACCGCGCCAGAGGCGGAAAAGTTCAGGGACTTAAGTGCAAAATACGGGATTTTTAGCCCAAAACCCTATTTTAAATACTAGACTTCGCCCAAAGGAGAAAAAGGGGGTATTGGAGAATATTTTAGCAAGGAAAACAATTGTGAGAAATCACCCAAAACATCTTTCTGCTTTTCTTTGATTTTTCTTGCAAGTTTTGTGATGAGTATTGTTTTAGTTTGTTTTTACCCATAGTTATGAGTAGCTAAATCCTTTGTCTAAGGTTTTGATGGAACCTATTGGGGGATGAACTTCTTGTTTATATGAATACAAATTGCTAGTTCCAATCTCTATTTGTTCAACTATGTGTTTGTTGTAGTTAATTGATAGGATCCTCAATTGGCTGTGCCTATTTAGTGTGCATAACTCGGGAGAGAGTGCATATTTAGGTAATTGTTGAACAACACCACTCCCAAAGTATATGAGGGTCAATAACCGAGGGTTTAAAGGCGGGATTAGGGATAACGAAACCTTGGGTGTAGTCTAAAGTGAATTGTGTTAAATAAAGCAAGCTAGTGTATCTCGGGAGAGTGCAACTAGTAAATTACTGTGATTACTCGGGAGAGATTTACGGTAAGAAGAACGTCCATGATTAATAGAGATGTGTTGGTAAATTTGTATGAAGCATAAACAGAAGGAATTCCATCAATAGGGGAAATCATTACCTTAGCACTTTCTCATTATTGTTTACAGCTTAGCATCTTTAATTTGTAGCTATTAGTTACTGTTGATCTTAGTTATTAAAAACACCATCAACTGTGATTCTCAACGTTTGGGAAATTGATTCTAAAGAGTTTAGTAGGTCTAAAGATAGTGATTGATAGGTTAATTCTCTGTGGATTCGACTCTGGGCACAATACTCAGGTTATATTTGCAACGTCCGCATTGTCATTTTTATAAGGCATAGTTGGGCATGATCAATAATCTAAATAGATCTTAGACAAATCTAATCTATATATATTGATCCACTCATAAATTTCTTCTATAGTAGCTAGAAATATGGAGTTAAAGAATTAATTTTAAAACTATTATAAAACATTAAAAAAAATACAGTATTACGTAAATTGAGATAACCTATGATTATTTATACTTTGTAGTAAGTTAAAATATAAAATAAATCTAAAATTTACGTAAGATATTAAAGATTTGATCACTTTAATAATTAAAATTTTCAAGCATAAAAATAAGACCTTACATAAAATATATAAATTATTTATAGAGTTAGAGAAAAAAATAAATAATTATTGAAAATATTTTAATAACAAGAATATATATATATATATATATATATATATATATATATATATATTAAAAAGAGGATAGTCAAGCTTAATATCATGCTAAAACTAAGGAACATATAGAGAGAAAAAATCAAAAAATTCATCATACAAAAGAAAAAGGATAAAATTTATTTTAATATGAGATGAGAGAGTTTTGTTTAAGTATATAAGAAATGACATGCATGTATATAATGACACATAACTAAAGTCTAACAAGTAAAGGAAAAAATTAAAAATATTGAATAAAAAAATAAATTAGAGATAATGTAAGGATATTTTTACTAAGAATTACTTTAGAAAATAAAATAAATTAAACATAGAATACTTAAAAATATTATTGATAAGCTTAAATAGTTTAAGAATTTCAATGAATATTTGTAAAAATAAAAATTTATTTAATTTAATACAAAAAATTACATATCTACATATATTATATTAAAAGTAATGACGGATAAAAATATTAAATAAAGTTAAAAGTTAAAAAAAATATAAGAAAACCTGATAATATTACACATTAGATAACATTATAGCAAAAGCAAGAAAACTAATTAAAATTCAAAAAAAATCTATATTGAAAATAAAAGAAAAGTATATTTGAACTTGAGATTAAAAAGATTAAAATTATGACGAGTACGCATACGGATATAACCACAAAATAGTCTTGCTAGATAAAGAAAACTAAAAAAATGATACTAAATTAAAATTTTAAATAATGATACTAAAATATAATACAAGTGTCAAAATTATAAGGTTGGGATCTATTATCACTGAGCCGAGAGTCCCTCGGAAACAGCCTCTCCATCCCTTCGGGATAGGGGTAAGGTCTGTGTACACTCTACCTTCCCCAAACCCCACTGGTGGAAGTCTACTAGTTGTTGTTGTAGTCTTCAAAACAATTATACTACTAAAGGTAAATAGAAAAAAAATACTTAAGTTTGTCTTGAATTTCTAAAATGATAAATAATTTGACATAATTATTTTTGAAATCAGCCAAATAAATTAGGGAGTATAAACCAGTAACTAAATGCATTCCCCTTTATTCGACAAATAGCTCGTTTGGCCAAGCTTCTAAAATTAGCTTATTTTGATAAATGTTTTTTTCAAAAGTACTTTTTTTAAAAAGTGCTTTTGGTGAGAAGTAGTTTGTGTTTGGCTAATTAATTTGAAAAGCACTTTTAGCAGTAATTAGTGTTTGGCCAAGCTTTTGAAAACTGCTTCTAAGTGTATTTTTCTCAAAAGTGCTTTTACAGAGAAGTTACTTCTTTCTGCTTCTCCAAAACTACTTCTGCTTCTCCTCAAAAGCACTTTTTTTCCTTCCAAAAGCTCGGCCAAACACCTTAATTTTTGTTCAAAATCACTTTTATCCAAAAAAAGCACTTTGGCCCAAAAATAAGCTTGGCCAAACATGGCCAAACAGGCTAAAAACCACTAGCTGCAATACAGAGAGCACACAGTTAGCTAAAGAGCCAGTGGTTTATCACGATCTTTAGCACTCTAACTAATGTCTCTTTCTCCTATTCAATCAACTTCTTTTCTGTGCCTATATATTCATCTTTGGCCCCAAATTTTCAAACATCATCTTCAGAATTATCAAATCCTAGTATCAAAAAATCAGAAACCAAAAGCAAGGTTTCTTGTTACTAAAACCAAAGCAAAATAAAAGAGCTTTTAGAAGAAAGAAAACCAAATATCATGAGTTCAAGCAGGAGAGCGTGGATAATAGCAGCGAGTGTTGGAGCAGTGGAAGCTTTAAAAGATCAAGGTTTCTGTAGGTGGAATTACCCTTTGAGGTCCTTCGCTCAGCACACAAAGAATAACATGAGATCTTACTCTCAAGCTAAGAAGCTTTCTACTTCTTCTTCCTCACTGATTGCAAGTAGCGACAAGGCAAAGCAATCTGAAGAATCTTTCAGGAAAGTTATGTACTTGAGCTGTTGGGGTTCCAATTAACTGATCTTTGTTAGAGAAACCTCGTTTCTCATTTTTGTAGGGCCGAACTAAAGAGGAAAAATGTATAGTTGTGGTTGTAAATATGCCACCTCAAGAGAAGCATGTATATTATTTCGAAGGATGAGAAATAAAATTACTAAGAAATACTGTTGATATTCTGATGAAATGATGATATGACAGATCGTTTAGTATTTTGCATTCACTTCAACATGCTTGCAAATGATACTCTTAATTTTAGTTTTAGAACTCTGAATACATAAATTAATATTCAGCAAATGGTAGATAACTTGTTCAATCAAAAAGTGTTTGAACCTTTTAGTTAAATCAATTAATAATTAAATCAATTAATGATAAGATGAAGGGTGAATCTTAATTAAGAATAATAAAATCTAGATCAAATATTATGTGAAGTCGGTAAGATAAGCAACGTTAATCAATGTGCTCGTGCAGATTAAATGTTCATGAATACAATAACGTAAGTGTGCAATAAATGTAGATAATGACTATGAATATAGTAACAAAAAGGAATCTACCACCCAATTATTGTAAGACTTGGATGACTCTTTTTCCTGACACCAACGTGGAGAAACGAGAAATAAAGAGGGTTGAGGAATCTTTGGATCTTGTGAATAAAGAAGCAAAAAATGTATGCTTGAATAAGATAATCAATGAACAAGACAATTTTTGTATATTCTCTCAGGTCAACCTTTTACACTGTGTTTTTCTCATAAAGTCAAGATTCCCCTTTTTGTTCTCTATCTCTTCCTATTTATAAGGGATGTTTCCGAGAAATCCTAAAAAGTAAAAATAAGGAATATTCAAAGGAATATTCCTTGTGTCCATATATGAACTTATGCTACCGTTATTTCTTCATCTCAGATGCCCGTCTTTGGCATCAACCTTCACGAGAGCAGCCTTCAGCTATTACACCGCGGTCGATCCCGTCCTTAGTCTCGCTTAGCCGTGACTGCCAAGTCGCCAAATTTAGACCAATACATTCGTCTCGTCTCCAGTGATCTTAAGAGATCAAGTGTAGATCGACTGAGCAAGGTGCAAAAACGACTTAAAGAAGTAAAAATTGAAAAAGGTGCAAAGATTACTTAGCCGTATCCCATTGCAAACGTTGTGGCTGATGCATTAAGTCGACAGTCTACGAAATATGGAAAAACATAAGCTGGAGATGACCAAAGACTTGTACCAATTGGCTAACTTAAGTGTACGATTGATCGATATAACGGTGTTTGACTCAAAAGTTGTTTAACACTTTTTAAGCAAATCAATCAATATAGATGAAGGGGTAAATCGTAGTCGATCTTAATTAATATTGGACCAAAGAATGTAATCATAAAGATAGAAAAATCAATTGAAATGACACCTGAGAGGTTTTATTGATTATAGAAATTTAGCCTGCCTCTCCTTGAAGAGGTTCAGAAGATTACAAACTGTTTGACTCAAAAGTTGTTTAACACTTTTTAAGCAAATCAATCAATATAGATGAAGGGGTAAATCGTAGTCGATCTTAATTAATATTGGATCAAAGAATATAATCATAAAGATAGAAAAATCAATTGAAATGACACCTGAGAGGTTTTATTGATTATAGAAATTCAGTCTGCCTCTCCTTGAAGAGGTTCAGGAGATTACAATCAAATTCTTTCTACCTCCTTGGAGGTGGAATCTCTCTCTCTCTTTCATGGAGTTCTCCCCTGTTTTTCCGGATCCCTCCCCCTTTTAAGGGATTCTTCTGCCCTCTATTTATAGCTTAGAACTTCTTATGCTTATCACATTTTGTTCGGGCCGGGTCGGGGAGGTGACCTTCCCTCATGGGGAGGCCTTGACCTCGACGCTCATGTTATAAATAATAGCGATTAGGTGAAGTCGAGTTCGTTGATTACTGCTGCAGGGCGGTCGGGACGGGATCATTGCTGTTGTGGTCGCGTGGTCAGATTATGACCAATACAGTTAGTACTTCCGTTCGCCGGGGTCGTATCTTACCGACCACGGCGGACGGATAATGTTTGTGACGTAATCGTGGAGGGAGTCAGATCCGCGTGTTTTTCTTTGGTCGCGTTATAAATTTTGAAACTGCCCGGAGGTGTCTTTCTAATATTCTTATGCCGTCACGACGGTTTCGAAACCGAAGAGCCGGTAGATAAATGAAACGTAGCTTTGTGCAAGTGGTCACAACAGCGCATGTTCCCAAGGAGCTGAATCGTTTCATGCCCGGCCAGGTTCTTGCGGCGACCGTTGGTTTTTGTACCCTGGAGAATTTGTGTCTTATAAATTAAAGGGGTTTGTCACTCGTTTCTCACACTTTATCGCTCATCTCCGAGAGAATTCCCAGAATATCTCCCTTTCTATTGGTTTGATCTCTTTTTGACTCCTTTGCTTGAGACAATCTTGGGCTTTCTCGCTTCTTCCTCAAAGTTCCTCCCTCCTCATTTCGTGAGTTAAAGATGACGGGAACTTCTTCTCACGATAATATTCCGGCTATCTCTCCGGCGGCCGGGGACCCTGCTCCGGCAGACGGAGACGTAGACCCGATGGAGTGCAAAGATGTTCCTTCAGTAGAGGAAATTTTATCCTGCCCGGGGAAGGCTGTGGTGGATTTCAGCGCCGATGGTGGTGCGGAGCAGGTAAATATTCCTCCCCTTATAGGGGAGATCGAAATAGCGGATTTAAGGGCACGATGGGGTATTCCTGGTTATGTCGAGATGGTGCCGGCAAAGAGAGAAGATAGGGTCCAGATCGACCGTCCCGGGTTCTGCTCGTTCTATGCTTACCCCTTCCTAGTGGGGTACACACTTCCGCTTCCAATGTTGGTGGTCGACTTCTGCGCTATTATGAGGTGTGTCCTGCCCAACTCTCTCCTTACCTGTACAAGCTGTTCCTCATGTTTATCAAGTACGCGGAGCTAGCCGGTCGGGAGGTCACTCTGAGACATGTGCTCAGCCTGTTCACTCCCCAAAAGATTCGCGACACTATGATCCACGCGCGTCCCGGAGGGTCAAAAGGTTTAGTGGTCAAGATGGACGACAGGACCAATCGTCGTTTCTTTGATAACTTTTTCTATGTGCGGACCGAGCACCTTGTGGCGGATCCAACTGGGTTTCCAGAAGTATGGAATTTTGCCCGTATGTCTTCGTCCTTGACTAGTGGAGTACCTACTTTGGCCTCGCTTTCTTTATATCTCATGTTGTAAATATTGATCTATTTCGATGCTTTACAGTCGAGAAGTTGCCCCCGCCTCCACTGGAGGGGATCCGAGAATAGGTCTAGGCCATTCTTCCCCATACAACGGGAGTTCGCACATGGTCGACGTTTCATATGAGATTCGGACGTAGGCCCCTTACAGGTGAGATAGCGCCCTTGTTTTTTACCCATTCTCTTTCGTTTCGATCTTACCTTTCGAGTATTTGTTTGCCGTGGCCAGGGAGGGTTCGCAGAGTCAGGGCTCCTCAGTTAGCTTTTCGTCGGCCGTCAGCGTCCGCTTGTATCAGTGCAGTACCTGCAGCCCGTCCGTCGAGGGAAGCGTCGGTAGAATCTGTGGCTTTGGCCGCTTCGACCCGGACTATATCTCCGGAGGAGGATCGGTCTGGTACCGTCTGTCCTCAGAACGACTCGCCATCAGCCGGGGAGGAAGAAGGGCCATCGAAGAGGCGGAGGGTAGGGTTTGAGATGGTCCCTCCGGCAGCGATCAACTTGGATTCACCCCCAGCAAACCCAGAGAAAGGTGTTGTTACGACGTCTACCGCTGAGGGGGAGCGGATGGTCAGGACTGTTCCCACCAGTCAGAGCCAGGAAAATTCTACTGTTGTAGCGACCCAATCAGGAGTTCCCGCTGCCGATGATGCAGGACATCTCGCTGTAGCGGAGAATCGGACCCCTGATGCTGCCGTCGTGACCTCGAGTGTACCGTTACGGTCCTCGGCAGGTCGCGCCACGCCATCGGCAACGGAGAGGGGAAAGGGTGTAATGATCGACGAGTACGAGTCCGAGTCTGACTTGAACCCTGATGATGTTCGGATGTTTGAGGAAGGCATTACTCGCTCGGTGGTTAATGCGGAGGGGTCGGCCCGTCTCGTTGAGATCCCCTCCGACGTGAACCTGTTGACGCAAGGAGGCAACTTGGTACCACAATTCAGCTTGTTGTATTCGGAAGCCGAGAACGAGTCCCTGAGGAATGTTTCAGATGTCGAAGTGATGGACGAAGTAGCTGTAATGGGCTTACGGGTATGTTATATCTGACTTCGATTTGTTTCTCCTTTGTCGCAGAATGAGCATTAGTTTAACTGCTTTCTTGTTTTACAGACGTACATGTTGGAGGTAGAGAACATTCGCAGAGCCAATGTCCGGTCGAGGATCTTCTTGCAGATGCTGGAAAAATACCGTCGCTATCGCGATAGGTGCCGTGAGTTGTACGAACGGTTAAGGACTGAACCCCGCAACCGGGCTTTGGGCGAGGAGTTGGAGAAAAAGGACCAGGAGCTAATGCAGGTGCTCCGCAGCAAGAGCGAGCTCGAAGAGCAAATCCGCCTGAAGGATGAGGAGCTCGAGGTGGGCAAAGGGGTCGCTGGGAATGCGAGCACCTGCAGGGCAAGTTACGAGCAATGCAGTTGGAAATTGAGCAGAGCCAGGCCAGAGCAGCGGAGATGAACGCCGAGTGGAGCGGGAAGTTGACTGCGCTGGAAGGCAAGGTTGCTGATTTGAAGCGCATGGAGAGGGCAGCGTTGGATGCTTTGACGAGTGCAGCAGCCTTAGAGGCGGCAATTCGCGTACATGAGTCCGAGCGAGAGTCGGAGAGAGCTACTGCAGCCCTTAGGGAGGCGAGGCTCGAGGAGCGGATTGGCGCGATTGACCAGGAGGCCTTAGTCTTATCGAATCGGGTTGCGGCTTTGGAGGAGGAGAATCAGCGGTTGAAGGCCCAGGCTGGATCATCCCGTGTCACTGTTCCCCGCCAAGCTCATGAACTCTGGGTCTATGCTGAAGCTTGATGTTCTTAGACGTCAATACCACACAAGAGGGGGGGTGATTTGTGTGGTACCTAATTTTCGCACTAGAAGAACCTGGTTCTTCTAGATGTACTTACTAAGACTGTTTGCGGAATTAAGAGTGCATAAAATAAAGAACACAGAGAATTTTTACGTGTAAAACACCTGGCTCAAAAGGTGAAAAAACCACGACCTACTACTCAGTAGGATTTTCCAAAACTTCCACTAAAATCACTGAGCCAAAACAATATTTACAAAACTCTTGTAAACCTAACGATTAAACTCTAATACCAGTGTGGCACACAGCCTCAACTGCTGCGACACTTTGAAGTTAACTCTAACTTGAATACTCAAAGTACCTAATACAATTGCTTCAATAAAATATGAAAGGTACAATTTTAAAACACCTATTACAATTGAACTAGAATAAAAGAAAGACACGATGGAATTGGTTCTTCTATCTTGTCCAAGTAGCTTCAGGTTTGCACACTTGAATCTCACGTAAATTGCTTGCAAAAACCTTGCTATTTTGCTCTTCAATTTAGTTTCACTTCTGCGTTTGTGTGCTACCTGTAAAAGAGAACAATCATTATTATTTATAGAGTTAGTAATCAGAGTTTGATTAAAACTCGAATTGCTAATCCTTCATCAAATTCGAGTCCTAGAACAATTCAAACTCCAATCCTTATTCTTTATCCGGATATAGTTCTCTTCACATAAGGAGACTTCAACTCCTTATCCTATGCAACCTTTTCGATCAACTCAGAAGATATTGTTGCTGACCCTTGAGACTTATCTTCACCCGTATGTCACGTGTATAAGTATATCAACATTGTGTCTGTCTCACATGATGGACCTAGTTCATGGCTAAGTTCATTTTGTCAATCTTCAAAACTTCATCTGAACTTGGGCCAACAGCTGCTGATGGTTTAATAACCAATTTTCCTTGAGAACAAGCAGCACAAGAAAATTCCTTAAATTGAAGAATCTTCTTATTCTTCAATATGTGTCCATATGAATTCTCTATTATTCTACGTATCATGTTATAACCGGGATGGCCCAACCGATCATGCCAAATGATAAAATCATTAGAAGTAGTAAACCTTTTGTTTACTATGGCATGTGATTCAACCACACCAATGTTTGTGTGGTACAACCCAGAAGAAAATGCGGGTAATTTTTCGTGCACATATCTTTTACCCGCTTTTATTGTAGTAATATAAAGGTATTCAACCTTTCCTTCGTTTGATGTCTCAACATGGTAGCCATTTTGGCGAATAGCTTTGAAACTCAACAAGTTTCTTTGAGACTTACTACAGTACAATGCATTATCAATAGTTAATATCGTTCCTCTAGGTAATAATAAGGCCGCTCTTCCAGAGCCCTCAATCAACTTTGTACTATCGGATATTGTATTAACATAGGCCTTTTTCATAACTAAATAAGAGAAAAATTTCTTTTCTTTTAATATTGTGTGAGTTGTAGCACTATCCAAAAGACATAAATCTTCATTACTCATCTTGGATCCAATTGAAGACTGGGGAATTTTAATTTCTTCATAAAAAAATAAAAGTACATCATGAGAAATATGGAAAAACTAACATCACCTACGACAACATAAGACAACTTAAGTACTACTTGAAAATAAAAACAACTTTAGACGAGACAAAAACATTGAAAATAACAACATAATTGCATTCCCCAATAAAATGATCAAACTTTAGTTTTGATCTCCAAAGAAATCTTCAACTTCCAAATGAGTAAGATCATCGAGTCCTTGAAAATCATCATCATTCAAAGCAAGATTTGCCTCGGCATTGTCATCATTTTTGTTTGAAGGCCCTGCCTCAAAATCATTTTTAAAGGTCAAGTGGGACTCCACTGAGGCATTAGCAGAAGATGCTCCAACATTATTTTTCTTTCTTTTGATGGAGATTTGATAAATCCTGACAAAATGCTCAGGTGCACGACATTCAATTTTCCAATGACCTTTCATGCCACAGCGGTGACAGTTACCGCTTTTGCCTCTTGAAGGATTGTTTTGAGAACCCATATTGTTCTCTCGTTTGCCATGACCACCATGATGACGACTATTATATCGTCTCTTACCATTTCCATGCCCACGTACATTCATATGGCCATGATTATTATTCCGTCTTTTTCCAGACTTATCACGTCTAGCTGCCATATTCGCTTCAGGAAGCGGAGCTGACCCTGTGGGACGGGCATCATGATTTTTTAGCAAAAGGGTATTATGTTGCTCAGCCACCAGAAGGCATGAGATCAATTCAGAATACTTTTTAAAACCCCTTTCACGATATTGCTACTATAATACCATATTTGAGGCATGAAAAGTCGTAAGAGTCTTTTCCCGCAAATCCTCATCATTCATAACTTCCCCACATAATTTCAATTGGGAAGTTATTCGAAATACAGCAGAGTTATACTCACTTACGGTCTTAAAATCTTGCAACCGTAAGTGCATCCACTCATATCGAGCCCTTGGCAATACCGTAGCCTTAAGGTAATCATACCTTTCCTTCAGGCCAGTCCACAATTCAAGTGGATCTTTCACTATTAAATATTTAACCTTCAAACCTTCATCCAAATGATGATGAAGGAAAATCATGGCCTTCGCTTTGTCCTGGCTTGATGCCTCATTACCCTGAGTAATGGTGTTACCAAGGCCTTTAGCGGCTAAGTGAGTCTCAGCATCGAGAACCCATGATAGGTAATTCTTTCCAGAAATGTCAAGTGCCACAAACTCAAGCTTTGACAAATTCGACATAGTAAAAACTATCAAAGAAAATAAATGAATTAGAACTAGTAAAATAAATTAACGAAAATATTTTCATCAAAGGGTCAATCTGATCATATCCCATAAAAATAATAACATCAATTGACCAGTTAATCACCATAAAAATACATGAATTAGCTATGCCGCAATAATAAATATAAACATAGAATTCTTCAAAATAAACAAAAACATTTTTTCCCGAAAGCCATTAGTCGTATGGAAAGAAATCTGGAAGTCATTTGATAGAGTATTAAAATAGTAGGAAAAACTATTTCAACTAATCTTAACTATTCTGACAAACATGTCAACTATTGGCATTAAACATAAT